GGGGCGCGCCCTCTCTCTCTCTCTCTCTCTCTCTCTCTCTCACGCGGAAGCAGATACTTTGTTTTTTCTTTTTTCCTTCATTTTTGTTTTTGTTTTTCTTTTGCTTGTCTTATTTCTTTTTCTTCGATCTCGTTTCTTTTTTCCGTTTTTCTTTTTTTTTTTCCTACTGAATATTTTTTTTCCGTTTTTTGGGGGTGCCAGCAGACTGACGTTCGGGAACTCCACGCCCGGAAGTCCGAGCCTCGGCACGGCTCGGCGTACTGGTCGGCGGAGGCTCGGAATCGATAGCTGGGCCAAGTACTACGCTAGTAGCCTGGTAACGCCACTCCATAGATGCAATGTTTTCTCCCCCCTGGCTTTCTGTTTTCCGCCCTTTTTGGCTCATTTGTTCTGTCTTTCCCCCCCCCCTAGAAGGGTCGACCGCTTGAGGCATCATGATTTATAACGTGATCGAACTGCCCAGACTTTTGTCCCTTTTGGTGAGTGAAGCGGCGAAGGCCTAGATATATTGCTTCTCTACGTTTACGTTTCGCAGTGGCATGGCAGGGCCCAACTGAGGGGCCGCCTTCGACTGTCACACAAACTACTAAACTATACTATCCGATGGCATGTGGGCCGACGCCCCCGCATTTGTTTTCTCGGCGCAGCGTCGTCGGGATTTTCCGCGCGCAGCCTGGAAAGGAATAGAGGCATCGACGAACCACCTTCAATTTCTCTCTCTCTCTCTCTGTGTGCCCGCGGTGTTTTGTTTGAAGATGTAGAGAGTTCCATTCACACGGCCCGATTTTGTTTGAAGATGTAGAAAGTTCCATTCACACGGCCAAAAGGGAATCAGGTGAGATCGCACCGTCTCTCTCTCTCTCTCTCTCTCTCTCTCTCTCTCTCTCTCGTTGTGCCTGTTTCTGTGTGCCCGCCGTGTCGTGTCTGAAGATGTAGAGAGTTCCATTCACACGGCGCAAAAGGGGGTTAGGTGAGCTCGCGCCGCGTGGCGAAGTGCACTCTTTCCCCCTCCCTCCCTCCCTCCCTCCCTCAGCGGCATTGCGCGTGAAGCGGTGGAGAGTTTCGCCCAAAAACGAAATAGGCGGGTTCACCCGGCGTCGCGAAGTGCACCCCCTCTCTCTCTCGGCTGTCCTACGTCCCTCCTTTCCTCCTCCCTCCATCCGTCCGTCTATCCGTTTAGGGCTGCAACTCCATTTTTTGTAGGGGTGCTATGTTGCAAGTGGAACTGGATTCGTGCACGGTCGCTGTCATCAGGAGTAGTAGGCGGGGATCATGCCGTGAATGCGGAGAGGCAGGGGGAGAAGGAACACTCCGGGGAGATGAGTGCCTGGTCAGGCAGGCAGGAGAAGGTCGCCATAGAAATCTTGAGGGCCCGGAGTAGCAGGAAAACGACGAAGGGGGAGGGTGACGATGCGGGATCAGGAGGATGAGGGGGCCGGGATTTGGTCGGTAGGATGGGGGAGTCGACGAGAGAGGAAGCAGAAGGAGGGTCAGCGGAGGGGGAAGACGTCGAGGAGGGTCCTAAAGTAAATGGGTGGAGGATGTAGGTCGGGGAACTCATTTGCGAAGTAGGGGATGGGCAGCGCGGATTGGCGGGGGGCGATCAGGATGTGGGATCGAGACGAGGAGAAGGTCGGAATGCTAGCCAATCAGGGTGAGGATGTAGGAACCGATGAAGTGCAGGGCGAAGAACGCCAAGGCATCAGGTGAGGAATGCAGGTCGTACTGGGGAATATGGACAAGGTGGGGAAGAAGAGATGGCATACCAGATCTGCAGGGACGCGCCCCCTAGATCGAGAGAGAGGGGGGTGGAGAGAGGGGAGAATAGCAAGAGAATGGGAAGAGTGAGGGAGCAAAAGATGGTGAGAGGGACAGGGCAGAGAGAGACCCCAGTGGGGCAGGAATGTTGAGACCACTGTTTCTCTTCATGGAGGCACGCCCTGTCCTCACTCCAAGTTCCTCCCTGGATAATTCTAAAAATGTGAAGAGAAAAAAGAAAGAAAGAACAAAATGACAAAATATTGACTGTGTGATATTACTACACCCTTTGATCTCTTGTTCTCGATCGTGTTCGTTTTCCTTTTTCTTTTTGTTCCCTTTGTGTGCTGCTATGCTGTCGTCTCTTGCGTTTGGAGCTGCTTCCGTCAGTCTATCGCTAGGGTACCTTTTTTTTTTTCCCCCAATGTCAATGTGGTGGGGGATGTTGCCAGACCCCGGTTGCATCATCTCTCCCCTTCCATATCTCGCGCGTGCCGGCGTTGGTGACGCCAACACCAAATGCTTATGAGCTCCGCGTCAAATCAAATGCAGAATTGATGATCGCAATGATTTTAATCAAGTCAATGATTTTAATTAAGTACGATGTTCGTCAATTTGGCAACCAATCCTCTCAGTGGATCCTTCTTCCACTCGTCAAGATGGTGATAGGATTTGACTAACATCGGTAAAATGGATTGATAAAAATCGGTGAACCACCAGCGATCATGGGTTTCATCGGTTGATTTTTCTGCTACTGTTACTTCGTTCTCACGGCGTCATCATCGACTGTTAGTTTAATTAGTCCCATCGACATGCGACACTCATCATCAATTTTTTATCACATTGAATCATCTTCCTTGAAACAAGCGTTGAACTCCGTTCCAGAGAGTAGATGTCGTGCAAAATATCGCTCCATCAGTATTCTTCCTTTCCTCTTTCTCTCTGTCACTGCATCTCGTTCTCTCCGTGTCAATTCGCACACACACACACACACACACACACACACACACACACACACACAGAGAGAGAGAGAGAGAGA